GTGTGTGTGTGTGTGTGTGTGTGTGTGTGTGTGTGTGTGTGTGTGTGTGTGTGTCAACAGCAGCCGTGTTTCAGTGATCAGAAGAAGAAAACCTCCAACCTGGAAGCTTATGTCCGCTGGTTCAACAGACTGTGTTACCTGGTAGCAACAGAGATCTGCATGGTGAGCAGGAGAATAAGCAGCATCAAAGGCTCTCGCTAATTTTGACACACGCAGAGGAAAAACACTCAAAATAGCCTCGGTCGGCACATGAAAAACATTTTCACAGCCAAGAACAAACAGCAGAATACAATTATTCTCTGAGATTTGACTTTAAAAATACTGCAAATTTAGAAAGACGTTTTAGAATATATGCAAAGTCATGTTGTGCCTTTGTTATTTGCTGATTTACATATGAGGAGGGGAGCAGGGATTGCAGTTTTGCTGTTGGAGCACCACTGCCCCCTAATGGATTTTTTTAGTTACTGCAACCTCTCTGACGATTATTGGGTTTTTAGCAGTAAAGAAATATGTTTTAATTTGAAAAACTTCAATGTGTAATTTGGATAAAGAAAAAAAAACATGTTTTGTCTGTTTTACAGCCAGCAAAGAAGAAGCAGAGAGCCCAGGTCATTGAGTTCTTCATCGACGTAGCCAGAGAGTGTTTCAACATCGGAAACTTCAACTCCCTCATGGCCATCATCTGTGAGTTGTTTGTTCTATACATGCATGTGTTTCATAATTATAACAGCTCTGGTTATAAAAACAATTTTTTTAAATGTTGTTTGATGTTTATACTTGTAGCTGGCATGAATATGACTCCMGTGTCCCGACTGAAGAAGACTTGGAGTAAAGCCAAGACCGCCAAGTTCTTCATTCTGGAGGTGAACACGGTACCACCCTTTTCGAGTGCAGGTAAAACTCCAAGGCTGACTGTTTATTGTTTGTTTTTCAGCATCAGATGGATCCTACGGGAAACTTCTACAACTACAGAACGGCCCTGAGGGGGGCTGCCCATCGCTCTCAGACTGCCAACAGCAACAGAGAAAGGGTTAGGCTTTGAGCATCATTGTTAATCTGAAGGATTACTGGGTTTATTTCATTAGGTTTTACATATATATGATAATATATATAATGTTTCTCCTCAGATTGTGATTCCTTTCTTCAGCCTGCTTATTAAAGACATCTATTTCCTGAATGAAGGCTGCGCTAATCGCCTGCCCAACGGCCACATCAACTTTGAGGTGCCTTAACTTTGAATTCTTCCCCCTTAGTCGTTAAGGTTTGCACATAATCGAAAACTATCCATCTGAACATTTGCTTGGTTTTGTTTGTTGTGTAGAAATTTGTGGAGTTAGCGCGACAAGTGGGCGAGTTCATGACTTGGAAACAGGTGGAGTGTCCCTTTGAGGAGGATCAGGCCATCCTGCACTACCTCCACACCGCTCCCATCTTCAGCGAGGACGGTGAGTTTAATGCAACACGATGGATCTGTGGAAACAGACCACCGAACTGAAGCCTTTTTAAAACTCTTCTGTTGGAGCCTGAACATCAGTGTTTAGTTTTCTTCTCAGAAAAGAAGACTCCTCGCTACTGCTGTGATTTTACGACGGTTTCTCTTTTTRAAACACCCATCATAAGATGGGACGTATTATGTTATGGACTCATCTGTTGGCCTGTCCAGGTTCTAAATTAATAACTGTGTAACAGAAATGTCAAATTACACAGCTGGACACCCCATGGGACGAGATCTTTGTCTGTGAGCTTCAAGTAACAGAAATGTCTCTAGACTGTCCATCTGTCCATCCTTATGACAGAACCGTAATTCGTCCATGGTGTAACTCCACAAACGTTWAGGGTTGAAGAAAATGTCGTCAGAACATGGCTCCACATTGGTTCTTATTTTAATTAAGATCATTTCAACCAAAGAAATRGTGAGTTTGGACAGGCTGGTAACAGGTAAGTTCTTCACATTGAAAACTGACATCTTTAAAGTTATTTTATCGAACTGTTTGACGATTTATACTATGGACCATCATTAACAGTAAGACTGACCTTTCACCCTGTCACAACTTTATACACTTAATAGACTCAGATGTTCAGGATTYTCATGTGAGGGGAATTTATGCTTCAGATTTGGATTATTCTGACAGTTTCCTGACGACCGTATTATGTCATATTGACACATTTTGACTGGATTGTCCTGAACCTTTCTGCAGAAGTTCCTGTTCAAATCATCCTAAATCCCTTTTATCATCATATACATAAAAGGAAAATGAAAAACATCCTACTCTCCTCTATTTAGTTCTGTTCATTTTAATATAATATAATTATTGTAACAGGCTTTTGTTGGAACTCATCAAAGAACTTGTGATTGGGGCAAATTATAAGTTGTGAGCTGGGTTATTTAAAAATACAAACAAAGGATGACATGTTTTTTTAGGAAGCGTTTGAAGTTTATTTGAAGTAAAGAAATTCTAAACTTTATCAAGTATTTTAATTTACAATGATAAATGACTAGAAACTGAATGAT